ACGAAATTAAATATTAATAGTAATATTAATTGATTTGGAGTTTTCTGCAAGAAGAATACTCATAATTTGCCCAAATTCCAATGCTAGAGCCTTCAAATTGTCGGAGGCCTTAATGCGCTTTGAGTGAATATAATTAGAAGAAATTCTTAGTATGTCTTGGCATTGCAGGTCTACTGGTTGAAGAATGGCAAACGAGTGGATCGTCAAACGTTTCCCCACATAGTAATCGACGATTACAACCGCTTAATAATCGATCAAGTTGAATTGCAAGATGAAGGTAACTACACATGCGTGGCGGACACTCTGGGAATTGAACAGCGGTATTCCACAGCTGAGGTCACCGTACTTCGTAAGTCATAAAAATGGTATTACCGTAAAAAATTCGGGTCAACTTGTATGTAGGTGTAGTAGAACTTAAATTCATTCCACTTTAGTAAGAAGAAGGTTTCGCATCATTTTTTGCTTAAAACTTTTTCCGTTTCTGTTGACCTATATCACAGTAACTTTTAAAGAAAAGAACTCTTTAAAACTATAGCCTAGGCAGTTATAGACAATTTAGAGGCTCAGCCGGTTGAAAAGTTCTGTAAGAATGGCAGAATACTGCTTTTTACGAGAAAAATCCACCACGTGATTGACTTTTCAGTCTTGTAACTGACTGGAATTTGACTATTTTTTTATAATTCCAAAAGCCTTCAAAAGAGACAGCCAAACGACTTTGAGCATGACTCCATGGTCAATCTGGAATTCATGTCGACTGGATCCGGTTACTGGACGATGTCAACAGATTCGTATGAGAAGCTGCATGAATATGACCATTGGAGAGGTTAATTCACCATCGCCTATATCCAAATTTGATGAAGGCCCAATTAATTGTCCTCAACCTGTCTCAGAAATTCGGATCTGTGATCCACTGGAATGTAGCGGTGAGTCACGTTTATAACATCTTCGTTTGCTGTTCGTTTTACTTTTGCCCCCTTTCTGACTACGTGAAATAACCGTTTCTGCGCCTTTTTACGCATAATCTTCAGAAAGAATGAAAACTCTCTTTATTGATTCATTAATTTAAACCCGTGGTGAGTTACAATGCGTACATTATTTAAGCATGAGATTTTCATCCATATGAGGTGATAAATTTAGGGTCTTACCACGCCTTATCACAAACTGAATCTCATTCGCTGAGTGGATAGTGTTTGGAACAAAGCTAGTCATAGGGTAATACTCATGAGAAGGTGCAAATATTGGCGATGAGCATATATTGCGAATACATTGAGAAACCATTTCCACCTTTCTCGAATTAACTGTTTTTTTTGCCCATCTTTTCAAGCAGGTGAAATTCTTGGAGATCCTAAAGGAACGTCTTCGACCTTGAATGTCCGGGAAATTATGTTCTATGTTGGGTTGACTGCTGCTTTTACCGTAACACTACTCATTATCCTAACTGTGTGCCGTCTAAATCGGAGGAAACCGTCTCCATTCAGCAATTCTCTTTGCCCAAGACAGTTTTCCAGTCGGCAATTGGGTAAGAATGTCCTTTTTCTGCTCTCTACTCTTTAAAGCAAACATCCACGTTTTATACTTACGCTGTTACCGACAATTGCTAGATTCATCACGCATGAATGCGCATTTTTTTTGTCGACACCGAGTGTCCGGATCTGTGTCGGTAAGAGATGTTATACTGCTCGTGTCCGGCAACAGGGATTACCACCCGCAAGGTGTTTGTTAAGGGTCTTTCGAGTGCCAGCTGAATAGCCATTTCTTGACCTACTTTTCTCAGGGTGCTTTTCATTTCGGAGGTTTTTTTGAGAATTAAACTGAGATTGTCTTTATCGCAGGCTCAATGATTGAACCACATCGAAAATGTCAATGGCTTGAGCGGTCTGTGTCTTGCAATCTAGTCACATGATATGTCCCCCCCCCACCCNCCCCCCCCCCCCCCCCCCCCCCCATCCCCCTCCCCTCCTCGGAGTCGTAAATTCAGTCATCGTTAGCCATAGCTCGCATTGCCGTTTACAGATTTGAGAATATTTTGCCTGTTATCAAGTTGTGACATTTTCATCAAGCACCCATCAACTTGTTAACATGGCCATTCGAGTGAAAGAAAAATTTCTTTAACTCCCTTACCTTTTGCAACGGGCAAATACCGATTGGAAAATGAAAACCACAACAGTTCAGTTCATCGTTTGGCAAATTTGGATTCAAAACTATTCCAAGATATTTGAAAGAGCGTCATCATAAAAGTTTTATGTATTAATCAAGTGATCTTCATTAACGAAATTTGGGGTTTTATGGCCAACCAGCCTCTAAAATTAAGCTCAAGGGTATAACGGGGACTACGCAGACACGGCAAAAAGGTTTCCATAAGATATTTTCAGGACGTTAAATTACAGCAGATGGGTCTAGAGATTAAGCAGAACTCGTAATTATATGGATTTTCATTTGCCTCTTTAATAGACTATGGAAAGTCGATGACAGTGCTGAAGAATAGTCAGCACAGCACCTACGATCTACCACCACTATCAAACGGAGTTGGAACTCCAAAAACAAATGGCACATCGATGGGCCTTATTGATTATCCAATGAACGTTGAAGCGCCAAATCTTCTAGTTCAATCACACGTTCAACGATCTATGGGCGGAACGGAAACCTACAATCAGCCTTACAGCTCTGAAACTCAGATGTTTAATCCAATGACACCTATATTCTCCAATGGGTTCACATTTCAATCGCCGAAATTCAATTACATGTGAGATCCTTTATTTTTCACCACTTCTACCTAAAGTTCATTGAGTTTGCTTAAACTGGTGTTGGGGCTTTTAAAATTCTCACAACTCATAATTTACGTATGCGGGTGTGTGTTAATTATGGTGATAAGATGGACTTGATTATGTATTGCGCACCGATTTTTATCACCATTAAAAGTGGATTATCTCCTATAGCTAAATTTAATCTTTTAGCTTTAAAATTTTCCATCCAGATTCCTTATTTTACCCACTAAAAGCTTGCTAAATTGATCATTTCATGGTCGATCAGTCGGTCGTCCTCAATCTGTCACCCATTTGCAAAGATGTCACTCCCCTTTATTAAGGTCAGTTCTAGGATCTTGGTCATGCAAAATATTGCAGGTCTAAACCTGCCGTTACTGAAGCTCCACTTTAAAAAAATTTACGGAGTTCTACGTTTTTAAATTTCATTAAATATATATGCGCTAAAAGAGGGGGTTTTACGAATTAGTGCATTCGCCCATTTTAATGAAATGAGGAATTCCAAAAACTATTGTGACACTTTTGAAGTAATTAAACAACTACAATAAATGGAATTACACTTTTCGGCGCCGATAAAATTTTACAAATGTGATCCATTTTATACATGCATCCTTATGAAAAGTTCTAATTGCTCTTGAACATTAAGTTGGAGGAAGAATTGCAAACTGTACCGTGTAAAATGTCAGAGATCATTTAGTATTCAGTATTCTAACTTTCGTGTAAACTGCCTTCTAAGCAGCTGTAAAATTTAATCAACATTCTTGCTTGAACATTAAGTAAGATAGATCAGAAAATCATCCATTATCTTGTTAGAATGAAAATTCACGAATTAACTTCCGAAATGGGGCTTGAGGCTATTTCAACTTATTCAGCGAAAATTTCGCCGAATTAGGAGCTTTGTTGGAATTAATCTTCACTTTTGGAGTGGTCATGCATATGCTTTCATGCATATTGAATGAGATTTTAGATGTCATGCACCTTTTTGCCACAATTTTATTAGAGATTTAAGCGGTGTATTTTTTTCTCGCTTTAAATCAACAGGCCAAAGGATTCAAGTGGGTTGCAATTCTCTCCATTAGCAGTTGGAGGATATGTAAATGCACCACCACAAACACCCATCATACCTCCCCCTCCTCCTCTTCATATGGTACCATCCAGGTCTAGTGGGTCATCCTCAGCTGGAGGTCTCCAGACGAGCAATCAACAACAGCAGCCGATCTATTTAAGTCCTTCTTCGACCGCAAACAATGGCATGCTTTGTGGTGAAGGTGGTGAAGACAATTCTTCCGCATTTTATCATGAAATTGGAACTTCAGCGGATTCCACTTTCCCTTTGATACCACCACTACCTGTTTCAGCTGGAGAAACGGGAAGTGCAACCTGGGCAAGCATTGGTTCGGTAGGAGGCGTCGTCAATTTATCAGAGTCTGGTAAGTCACTTAACCGATTGATTATCCTTTAGTATTTTTGTTTTCGTAGTGTAATGCAGCTCAAGATTCGATTAGATTGTGGGGAATATTTGAGAAGCATCCTACCTATTGCTCCACTGAACACAATTACCACAGAGGCTAACACTCATGAGTTCATTTAAGAAAACTTTTCCTGATAAATGAGAAATTGTGTCAGGGGGTTTCCACCATCCCGCCACACGCAGAATAAACAATTGACAACGTCGGTTTTTTTCGCGCGAGAATTTTCGGAGCAAATAGTAGAATCTTACGGTTTGTAATCAGCTCAGGAGTTGAGCACACATCAACTGCAAAATGAAGATTACAACACTTATGCCACCGTTCGGCAAATATCGAATTAAAACTAGATCATATTAGAATTTCGAGTCTACAAAACATCACTCATTTAGGCAATTATAGATTCTCTTGTTGTCGTTCCATCATTCCTAATTGTAGAGAACTTTTTTACCCGGGAAATTGAGTACGTTCCGGTGCTCAATCACCGCGGCCATCAGTTTTATGAAAACTTGGGCGTGGTCGCAGTTTGCCTCTTATTTCCAATAGACCTTGACAAAAGTCAGTCAATAAAATCTACGCTGGCCACTTTGGTATCGATAAAAGACGAAAATTCCTTGTAACCCCGGTCATCTCTCAATCAAATGAACCCCATACGAATAAATTCCGATTGTTCATCGGGTGAATGGTTATCTAAACGATTATATCTTTCTACACAGCCATTTGTAGTCAATTAGATACATCATCCTTGGGTGTGGTTGGGAGAGTATGAACCAAAAGAAAATGTGCCATAAATTGACGAAGAAAAATTCAAAATGAGGAAGGGATTATATTTTACAGTGTATAAGATTGGTTTTGCGGATGGGGGAGAATTAGTTAATCTACAACCATTCCAAACTAATAGAACTTTTTATTTCAAATGGCAGGCCCTATGATATTTATCATTAGCCCCAATCGACCTTCATCACTAAAAGTGAGGTAAGAAGGAACAGTAGCCAGATGTGTATTGGGAGACCATATTATGAGGGTGGGGGCTTTGTTATATGAAAAACGCAGAGCAGGAGGGGGAGGGAGGATTAAAATCGATAAATAGCTTAAATTCTGAGCAAGGGCTCAAATTCGGGACCAAAGTGAATATGGCATGACCCAGTGACAGTTAATAATCTAATCGAGATAAAATTATAGCGTAGGTAGGAGCGAGGCCGCTGAATTTCCATAGTTCTAACTACATAATCTCACTTTTCTTCCAGGGATCGCTCTTCGTATCCCACCCGGTGCTATTCCCGCTGGTGTGTCAAGAGAGGTCTATCTCGCTTCGTGCAGGGATGACAAGTACTGGCCAATCTTGAATGGTAAGTGACATTTTTTTACTTTCACAGCCCAATATAAATGTATTAGTATAGGCAAAAGGAGCGGACATTGTGTCTTTCCATATTAATCAAAAATTTCCATAATGGAACTGCCCACAATTTGTGTTTATGAGCACCACATGTTAGGTGATAGCGCTTTCACTATAATTTCTTTATTATAAATATGCCCGAACGACTCTGGGAAAATAAGGGCGAAATTTCATCCGTTGACGTATAAGACACTATGGATCTTCACTGTTTATACTGGTAATGTAAACTAAAGGATAGACCAATTGGAAGAAAAGCCCGGATACTACACCGATAAATCTATTCTACGTAAATGGTCTGCATGAGATACTATTTTTGGGGAGGAGCGGAGAGGAGGGGGGGGGGGGGCTATGTGACCTGTCTGTGTATTCACCTAGTCTCATGACTCATAGCGATGGAATACGTCATCGCACCTGTCCTTTAGATATAGCGTTGTCATTTTATTAGTCATGTGCAGAAGGCGAGCTATTCGTTCGGTATTATGCAGTTGTACGGATTCCAGGAAGCGGCGAAACTAATGCAATTTTAATAGATACAAAGAAGTCAACTTCCTACCAACCTAATTTCAGTTTGAGTAAGAAGGAAGAATGATTTTTGGGTTTCCAGTTGAATTCAGCCCAGGTATTTTATTCTTAGCTTCACTTATCATTCAGCACATAATTTTGAATGTACTCAGTTACGAGTTTTCTTGGAATTTAGCCACCTTGACCACTAACTTTTTTCAGTTACCCGTTTTGAATGATTCAGTTCGTCCTGCGTATGACTTCTCTCTGGGTCAGCATTTTGAGTTAAACTCTGGCACCTAGGCCCAGTTTTGGCCCACTTGTTCCAGCAATGCCACTTTCTCCCCATTCTCACATGAATATAAATGGATGATCACATTCTCTGTCATTCCTATCTTTGGTCTATGTCAGTATCTTCTATACCTTAGCCTGCCTTACTATAAACAAGTTTTATGAATAGAGTTGCAGAAGTTCTTCATTGTATTCAATAAGATAATTATTTTTCATATCCATTTTTAGAACACCAAACCATGTTGAGTTCAGTAATACAAGTGGGTCTTCCCGGAGCACCCTTGTCAAAGCCCGTCATCGTCACCTTTCCACACTGTGCCAATATCACCGGCCAGGGTACTTGGTCATTCAGCATTCATTGCTATTGCAGTTCCGGATTCGGTTCTCTTTACAAAGATGCTGAATCTAATAATATTGAGTGGTCATGGAAGGTTAGCACTTCAATTTTTGACCTTTATAAAATTATTAATTCCATTTACCCTTTAGAACGGCAATTGTTTGTAAATAAGTTTAAAACTATTCCAATCTCACTTCTGAAACTAATGATTCATTTAAGCCCTTTTGACTTGCTTTAACAGGAAGTTTCTCGAGTGGGCCAAGAACAGGCTCGTGATCCAATCCACTGTCATCTGAGCGGGAATCAAGTCCATTTGATGACTCAGTATCCGCTTCGTTTCTGTCTGATCGGCCAGGTAGCTGCATTTGCGCCAACTACAACACTGGTTGGACCTGCACGAATGGGAGTGTCCACCGATTGCAGTGAAAACCATAGTGGAAGCAGTATGGCCACGGAAATAACAAATGATACTTTCACACCACCTCCACTAGCTCCGCCTCTTTCGAAACGATTGAGACTAATTGCATTCGCTGGAAGATTGACAATGGCCACGGATTGCAGTCTTCGAATCTACGCTGTACTTGATACCCCTGACGCCATACGGCATGTGAAAGACACGGAAGCGAAGTTAGATGGACAGTTGATTGGGGGTGGAAAACAGATGCTCTTCAGAAATAATGCTGGTGGCCTAGTCTTCCGTATTCAAGAACTATCGCCACACTGGAGGACAAGACTATCGTGTCAGGTAATAAACGCCTCTTGCATTTTCACCATATTATTCTAAGGCTTGTTTACTAGCATGGATATGCAAAAGCTATAACTCTGCTGTCTAAAATCAGATAGGTTGTCAGTAAACAACAAGCTGTCAAACGGAGAAATCGCAACAAAAGAAATCTGGAAAAATATTTTTGATAAAAAGATGAAAATGGCAAATTCTTATTCAAAATTTGCTGTCTTAGTCTCTTTCACGCTTTAATTAAACCAGGTTTTTTTTCGCTGGATCATTAAGCGTATTTTTCTGCGTTTCTTGCCATATCTACCCAATTACTTCCCTTTTTCGTTTTTATAGTTATCTCTGTAGTAGGTCGGGAGGTTTCTTAACTAGTATTCCACACTGGTGGTAGAGTATTGCGAGTGTCCTACTTTTGATGACACTGTGATGTGTTACAATTCCAGGTGTTTGTTATATATATATATATATATATTTATGACGCTCAATTTTTCTTCTGAACATTGCCATTACTCAATTTACTGTCGCAGGGGGTTTAGTTATATTCGTCAAAAATAATCAATAGAAAACACTTTGATGGCCTTGACAGGTTCACTGAGCATGGTTTGCGCCCCGGAGACTTAAATGATCGAGTACTCCACTATCGATCTCACACCTAATACTGAAATATAGTAGATTCGGCAATATAAACAGCTACATTTTCATTAAAAAAAATTAGGAGGAACCCGTTGTGTGAGCTACCCATCTTCATGCTTCACATATTGCCCCTTATTTAACAATTTAATGAAAAATCTGCGCAAGGTTTTTGCTCAATAGCTGGTAAAAATTACTTTGACTCAACATCTCATTCACCAGGTGAAAGTGCTATTTATTATCATAGTCAATCTTTGTTCCCGCGTTTTAAGCCTTGACTATTGATTGGCTAGTAGATGATGCCTTCGTTTCTCCACTTCATTACTCATCTTTGAAATAGAAATGATAAACATCTAGGCTCCTGTTGCCAACCTCGTGCATAAACAGTTTGCAAGAGTTTAAGCCCATCTCTTGGTGCATTATCTCCCACGAATTGGAGTGGCATTTTCCGCATTTCCGCGACACTACTTTCACATTGGAGAGATATTACTAAAGCATAAAAAGCTATGCGGCATCACCGCGGTGATATGAAGGTTTTCCAAGATGCGAGAAAGTGGTTGAATAAAGACAGATGTACGCGGCAAGAAGTTTACAATCTTCACGACGTTAACGTCAAAATACACCGTTAATTATCTTGAAGAAGAGCATGTGAAAGTTCAAGTGTCCATTTAATGATGATTTGTTCCGGTTTGTAAATTGCCAATGACTAATGTTTTAATCAACAGCTTAAAATTGTACATTTACAGTCTACAGGGTTGTTAAAACGAACTTCCAGTTTTCAATTTCCAAGAATGCATCAGGTATTCGGCTCTCTTTATGATCTAGAAAGTCGCATAGTTGATGATGGGTCAATAACTGCTCGGTGATGACCGTGAAGGTTAGTTGTGGCTCTTTTTGAGAGTTGTTGGTGAATTGTCTTGCAAAAATATAGCAAGGAAAAATGCGGTAAAAATCCTCTTCAATCTGATCGGTAGCACCGCAATGTATCCTCCGTTTTTTTCTTATGCATTGCTTTGGTCTTAAAAGTGCTCTAGCGACTTCACCACTACACCAAAAGGAATTATTTACCCTGTCTATAAAGCTTTTTTTCTCATATGACTCACTGAAGTTGTTTTTTTTGAGAACATGGTACGCCTATCTTAGTTCCTCCTCCATTTCCCATTATTTGTACAACGTTGCTCCTCCCATTCTCAAAAGAATGAATTCTCAAAGTGAATTGGCCCCAAAATAAGTATTTTTTTTACTTCAGGAGATTCCATTCCGACACATCTGGAGTGAAAACCGAAACACGCTACTTCATTGTGCTTTTACTCTGGAACGAGTTGATGATGTGGCATCTGGACTTCACTGCACTATCGCTTGTCAACAAGATGGAGTTCAAGGAACACAGCAGCTTTTGCGTTTGAATATTAACAACGGTAGCCCTGAGGTAAGATATTATTAGATTTCAGTCAAATTGCACTAATTTAACTTGAAGGGAAATCTGTGTATTCAATTAATAACTCTACGGGAATAGTTGACAAAAAATCTTCTTAAGAAATCATTCTGCCCATTCCATTTTAGGAATAAACATGTTTGTCCCTTGATAACTTCTTGATTAATTTCTTTGCTCGCAAATTGAAGGGAAAAGGAAATACCAATCTACTTTGTCTATTTTGTTTCTTCCTTATTGACCTTCATCCTGCCCCCTTTGTCTGTTCCCTCCCTTCCCCCCTATTCCTCTCCAACACACTTCCTCTGTTTATGAACTCTACGCGAGACTACCAATTGTCTCATGCGTTGTAAAACTCTCTGTTTTGCGAATGAATATATTCACATGTAAAGCACATTTCTACCACCTTTCCAGAGTCATCCAACGGCCTTAGCGACCCGTCCGGGATATTAAATTAAGAAATGCGGAATTTGCGATAGGTGACGAAAGTGAGCCGACATTAGGGAAGTGAATGAAAGGAGCTGGGAACACCTCCACTTCGATTGACGACGATAGTCAGTATTTCGAGTACTAGCAACGCTCTCACGAATCTTATTGATTTACCTGTAGATTAGTAAAAGGAAATGGATAAAAATTAAAGTACCTGGTTTGTTTTTAAATTGAAGAACACTAGTTAGCAGATTGAAGTGGAGTTGCTTATCTGAAACAAGCCGGTGAATAAATGCCTGAAAAAGCTGAACAGGTGTGTGTGTGTGTGTGTGTGTGTGTGTGTGTGACTCCCTTTTCCTAACTAAAATCAAAAAGAGTCAATCAACGGAATTAAAGAGGAAAAAAGATGAAGGGCGTTTTCTAGAATTTATCTTGTCAAGTCAAATGGTACCACGATTGAGCCATTTTGGACTCTCGTTGGTTAGTGGTCATTTTTTGACAGCTGAAGGCATCGGCTGCATGTTGTTTATCCGTATAATCGTACCTTGCTTGCCGATGACAGTTTATATAGAGGTTGTTATGCGGCAGTGTTGTTGGTCGATGCTCCTGAAAATCGCTTTCAAGCCTTAACTCAGGGAATTTTCACGCTTGTCTTCCCATTAGACATAGGAGAGAAGACACTTTGAAATAGTATTCTCTTACAGTTCCTAATGCAGTTGTACGATTTCACACAACATAATTTCCTTTTTTAAAAATTTCAGGGTCAGCATTTGATAACCAGCCAAATCGGGAATTCTTCCTACTGTGAACAGACTGATTTTCGGTAAGTATCGCTTGGTTCAATCAAACTAGACTCAATCGATAATTTGATAATTGCATTAATGTTGCTTTTTTAGGCTACAATCGTACTTGGTTTCCCAACTATGTAGTATGCTTGATCCAATTGTTCCACTAGGCAATGACTGGAGACAACTTGCTCAATGCCTCAATATGGAAAGGTTAAAATCAGAATTACTGCATCTTGTTTAAGTGGAAACAATGGTTAATCGAGAATATTTTCTCTTTAGATTCCTGCCCTACTTCGCATCAACTCAACGACCGACAGAGATGGTTCTAAATCTCTGGGAGGCTACTACCAGTACAAAAGGATCTCAGGCCAATCAGGAATTGATATCAATCCTACAAGCTATGCATCGGTTAGACTGCGCCAATTTGATACGATCACAAACTCCCGGCTCAAGAGGGGATCACGTGTAAATAGGAAAACAAAATCTTTCTTCATTTTCCAGAAACAGCATTTGCCAGCCAATTTTCTTTTCACCTTCTATCTCAAGTGTGTACATATTCGTTCGCCCGCTCTTTTGCATACAAGCCGCCGACATCCAGTGTAGGTATTCTCCTACCTCAGATTGACTTTGGCTATCACCCGAGCAACGTGTTTCCTGTAGTCATACTTCTTCATTTAACCTTCAAGTCCATGTCTACTCTCCTCCTTGACCTTCGTATCTTTCTTACTATCTTTGGGAAATGTAGGAGGAGAATGACTTCTCAAACTCTGTGTTCATTATCAATAAAATTTTTTTGACTCTACCCATTGCGCTATTGCCAATATGTTAGTGAGCAGTTGGTCAAGATATGTAAATGTCATGTCATATCAATTACCAGTTTAATTAGGTTTAATTAGTGCAAACTTAGTTGGATTCTGAAAAAAATATGCGCGAACTTTGCGGAGTGGGCGAGCTGAGGGCTTAGGGGTGAAATGTTGGACCATATGAACGAGAGGAGAAAAGTAGTCCTCTTTTCAGGTCCCAGTAAGTGAATCCATCTCGCCGAACTCTCAAACCGCCTGACAATTTGCTCCGGAAAAGAGAAATGTAGGGCTGCGATGTGTAAAAGAACATTCGTGATGCTCTTGCTTTTTCCAAGCCATCACCGTTTCACAAATAAAATGACAGGCGATGACTTTGGGTCAACAATTTAAATACTACCAAAGCTTCACGAAATAGATTGGTGTTTGATTTGTCGCATGACAGAATGAGATTAATCTCCTAGACTAAGGTTAATTTGAGGAACTTTGAGGATAATTTTTGATTTTAATCGCTGAAGATATTAGGAAAATATTTATTTATTTCAAATGGCAGGCGTTTTGATACCTATCATTAGCCATTTAGGTGACTTCAGGCTTCACAGAGGAGGGGGGGGGGACATCAAAGTCACAAAAGTGGAGAAGGTGAACGGAAGATTGATTCACAGATGTAAAAGAGACAGACAGACAGACACAAAGGCAGGGTAAAAGTAAGATGAGTACTGTGAAAGTGGCCGTATATGACATAGTGTGGTGATTGTAGTTAGAAGTCAGAAGTCAACTGCCGGTTTATAGACTATTTTGCCGTATGAGTATACGTTGCCCAGGGTGTTCCATGGAAGGAAAATATATGAAGTAAGAAACCGAGCAGAATTGTGAACAGGTCGGTGGAATCCAACAAAATTAAAATATTTTCCGAAGAGGGTAATTCGTAAAACAATTCAAAAATAAAATTATCGATCTTGAAGATAATATGTTCATTTTAATTGACAATGAGATTCACACTGACTGAACAAAGTACTTTCCGCATTTGTCATGATATCATCATTTTTTCTGTGTTAATAGTAGATTGAAAAAAACAACAAACAATGTTCTCAGGCATAACCATTTAACTGAAAAACCTGATTACTGGTCGAAAATTCCCCGAGCAAATTACTGAGAGGGTTTTTTTAAGAATTCCATCTTTTTCGGTATATTTCTAGAGCAAAATTGTAACTTTTAAAGCTCATACGCGCGAGTAGGATACTACTGAATTTAGCATTTGCAGTCATGGCATTGGGGTTCCATAACAATAGTACTAACTCAATATTTCCAAAAGATCACTATTTTCAAATTGTGCATCCGAAATACTACCGCTATGCCCTTAGACACATTTATCCTGGTTTCTCATTCTATTCGTTAATCCAGCGAGTCTTCTGTATTCACGACTTCCCAAATTCGAGATGAAACTCCCCTCATTGGGCAAAAACGGTGCCATCTTCGCTTGACATACCCACCTTTGTGAGGATGGTCAGGTGTAATAATATACAAGCCTCAATGTGTGCGGCAGTTTAATAATCTTTGTAGAATTTCTCAATTGTGATTTAGTTACGGCATAATATCAACAGAAAAGATTAGTTTTAAACAGCTTCAATTTTGATATATTATTGGCTGCAGTTAAAGTTACAATTATAGGCGCATTAGGTGGAATTCAAAATGAAATGGTTAGCCATCATATTATCCATCGACTTGCATTTCATCAAAGCAGATTAATGGTTGAAAAGTTCTATACGTAACCAAAGAGGCTTAACTTTGGATTTGGAATAGATGGAGTTGACTCTATGTGGATTCTACTTAGGAAAGAAGTAGACTGCATATAGCGCAGGTTACCTATTTATATTTCTTAGTTTATCGATAGAAATGGCTTAACTCTAAAACCCACAGTGAAAGGAAGAGAGAAAAGTATCGTCAAGGTCATTTTTTTCGAAGAGGTCTTATTCTGCCACTCTCATTATTAATTAGAAAATTTGTATGGCTGGCCATTCGGCTCACTGAGTGCACGCTGGTTGGCACAGGAACTCAGAAATCCTACCTTTGCAAACAGTTGGCAGCCAAAGGTTGAAGATGCTCTTTTTTGTAAATATCAAACTTTAAGCAATTTCAAATAATAAATTTGGCTTTTCAAATAATTATTTCTTTAAGTTCTTGAAAATGATTTTGTGTGTTTGATAAAAAATTGGTGAAAAAATTACCAGTCGATTCAAAATTGGCATTTTACAGAAAGACTGCATTTTACGATGTTGAAAATAAGGGTGACAAAGACTTACCACATCCTCAGAATATTTGAGAAGTTGGTTTCTGTCAGAAGTTAGATACCGATCAAATTGGGGTAGATTGTGCTGGATACTAGTTTTAAGTACGAAAATTCTCCATCGTTTACGTTTACACAAACTGGAAGAACGAATTATCGATTTGAGAGCTGAGGAAGACATGCATTTCAAATTACTTAAGTTGAAAGATAAGTAGACAAAAATCACTCTCAGCTTCATAACTGATGGGGTCTATATTCGCATTACTTTTCGTCATATTAAAAGAAGAACAGTTTGGAGGCGATGCTAAAACTGCACAAGTATTTATTTATATCAAATGATGGGCTTTATGAAATTTATCATTAGCCCCTTTAGTTGATTTCTGACTTTACAGAGGGGAGGAGCATCCAAGTCACAAAAGTCGAAAGAGGGGGGGGAGGAACAGGTGATTCACAGACGTACAAGAGACAGACACAAAGGCAGAGAGTAGGCTGTGAGTATTGTGGAAGTGGTGAAATATGTCATACAGTCGGGTCATGATAGTTTGAAGTCAACTACCGGTTTATAGACCCTTTTGCGGTATGAGTATACGTTGGCCAGGTTGCACCGCATGTAGTTAAGTCCCTTGCGCACCCCACTTCATGAATACATTTTTTAGAAAAATCAATGAATATATATCCATATATTGGTGTGCATTCATGATACTAGTGATGAATATTTTGTCAACTTCTGAATCTTTTGAAGGGTTCACGAACCCTTGGACTCTTGGAAGCTAATTCAATATGAAAATCTGGACAGTTCCAGAGTTTAGGAAACAATCTTGAAATTCACACGAGGGTGAGTCAAAAAGTTCTCAGACAAATGTAATAACTTCAAATAGAACCAAGATTTACAAGTTCGAACGTGTTTGATAGTATGCAACTATTCGATCATACAATGTAAGGTCAAGATTATGGCAGATTTTATCTCAAAATAGCTAGCAATTTTCAATCGTTCAAATGGTAAATTCAGAAGGAGGAATAATGATAGACTTTCTAGACTTATCATGAATGTGTTTTAGAGAAAAAACGGGTCGGGAAACTGAGCAGTTAAATTTTGTGTCATCATGACAATGCCTCTGCATATTCGGGAATCCCTGGCAGGGCCCTGTTGACCAAAATTCGTTGGGAAACACTTCAATTCTCCCCTTCATAGTCCAGACCTAGCTCTCTCAGACCTTTGTTTTGTTTTCAGAACTGAATGATTTACATCTCTTGATGAAGCAAAAGCATGTAATTCCAAGGTGTAGGAGACAGTCCCAAAAAGCTTCTACCACGAAGGAATTTAAAGATGGAAATAGATGTTACAAAAGCGTATGGACATCAATGGAGCCTAAGTGGACAAATGAATGTAATCACTCATTAAACAAATAAATGATGAAATTTATTCAAAAACTGTTTAGAAATTTCGTATACAATACTTCCAACTAAGTTGTGAAAGCGTTTGGTTGCTACCTCCATTCGAACCGTTATTTTATATCGAAATTGACTTCGCTTCAATATTGGGCAGTACACTCATTGGGACAGTGAAATTTCAAATTTAAAAATTGCATTAGAAATAGAATATTGGCATCGATTGGCTTATCAAACCCTTTTCCTTCCATGTACTTAATGTGGGCTTTTGTAGATATATTATTCCAAGAAGACTCTGCTGGAAAATTAATTAATTAATTGTGAATGATGAGGTCGAAAAGACTGCCCATTCATCCGATGGCTAAATGGATAATTAATTACAAGGACTCTGAATCATCGTACAAACTACAATATGACCAGATAATCGAATTTCCCATTCATACCTCCTCTTGGTTAAGCAATGGAAAAGAAGCATAGAAGCTAGTCTTACATGATTGGAAAAAGTTAATGTCCAGAAACCGAACCTCACGGCATGGAATTGTACTCTTTAAATTACTTAGAAATCCCACGGTGGTGAGGAGGTCGAAGTTTACATCTGCCGAGGTGGGGATGTCGGGATCCAGGGTCATCGGTGTACCGGTCAATACTTTTCGATAACAAGAGAAGCAGAGAACACATTTCTGAGGCGTTTCCAGGATAATTATCTCCCCTTTCTAGCACGAGTATCGGGATATGGGTTTAGCTTGAGTTATTGCACGTTTTTTCCCGAAAGATCGATATTAGGATGGATTCCTCGTTGACTTTCTGCTGTTACGCACTTTTTCCATGCCCAATGAAATGATGTTTCAAGTCAGCAAATCGACATAGTTAAAAGGACTATCACTCGTTTTGGGAGATACTTGATGACTTTCTGATTTCATAAACCATTTAAAACTGAAATTGAAAAATTAAATAGAAAAATTAATCAAAGAAAAAGTGCTTTCCAAGTGGCTCACTAAATGCTAAATTTTCACATTTAGTGGCAGGGATTACTTAACGTTTACTCAGTGAACTAAATACCTACATCACGCAAGTATTAAGCAAAGTACTACTACTTCCATTAGATGAAGATTTAGCAAGCGAAGCAT